AAATGGGTTGCAATTCCTACACTGTTCACCTGATTTGGGCGTAAATTATCCTCAGAAGAGTATAGTTAGAGCGTGGTTTTTTTTTTTTTCCCAATCCCTCCCTTGTGGTTTCCTTTCTGAACTCTGACTATAGATTTCCCCAGTGTGGGACAAATAAAGGATATCTTAAATAACCCAAGTTCAGAGTCTGCACTTCAAGCACATCTTGATTGTTTAAATGTGAAATCCATTGCTTTGTTGTACTAAGATGGATTGGCGAAAATTGTGTGAATGTCCAAATATTTGTGGACCTGACTGTACATGTTAAGGGTGCAGGGTGCTGCTACCTGTAGTTTCGTAGTGCGTGCTGGGTACTTTCAGGCCTGCGAGGTGTGCTGCGAGGGCACTTTTACCAACCCCACTCTTGCCAGAGAGGAAGACCTTGTAGTGGACCGTGTCCACGGGGACATGTGGAGGCATCACCGGAGACTCCAATAGTCCTGTCCACACAAATTTTGATACAGACCTCAATTCATCCGCTTAACAAATATCAATGGTTTTTTTTTTAGGGGGAGGGGAGAGAATACCGAAAATCTTGCGTTTCTTCTTGTGTAGTATCTTGCTGAAGTATTCTTTGCTGTCTTTGCATCGGTGCCAATCAGCTACGATGATAGAGCCGTGTTTGAGAGCTTGAGTCATTTTCTTTAACGCTCGCAGCGAGTGTCGGGAGCTTATGACGCAATAAAAAGGCGACGTGTTGTTGGTTCCCTCCGAAGGTGTTCAAGTTTTTGTCCACCAAAGCGTGCGTTTAGAAGGCACTTCATCTCGTTACATTCTTGTCTCCCCGAACATAACGTTGTTGCCTGTATGGTGTCATTCTTGCGCCTTCTCAAAACATGACTTGACTCCGAAGAAAAAAAATCTAGCTTCGCTCTCACAACTATGTGAAACGAAACGTATTCCGTTAACCCGAATTAGTCAATTATCCAACTACCAAGTTAACTTTGGTTTGAAATCAACTCATACCCCCACATTGATGTAAAACGGCTGGAATCCTGACGCAATATGTGATCGAAAGTTCTGTACAGGTAACGCGTAGCTGGCACCATCTGTTTCACGTCACGTCCGCCTCGTGAAAGCCAGCGCTGGGTGCATTCCCCAATAAAAGTAAATTGTACTAAAAAAAACACTTGATCGACATTTCGTAAAAATGAGATTCACGTGTCGTGTCAACAATACTCCTACTTTCCCATCAATTCCTGTTTGCATTCACGTCATCGTAAAAATAATCACTTAAAAATCTAAATGTGTTTGAAATACATATATTGTTAAGTTAGCTATGTATTGAACATCTATCTTTGCGTTTTATTTTATTTTCGTTGTGGAAAATCCAGTTTTGTTCAAACTAGCAAGCAAATTAGTTGTTTTGACTCCCTTTTATTCAGTCAACTGTTACGCCTTAAATTTCATCTAACACCCTTTGTATGATCACGGTTGCATAAAAATCCAAATGGTTGAGGTAAATGTGATAGAAACTGAAGCGAGCGTCGCCTTTAAATTCCCTCATAAATGTTATTTGCTCATCGGCTACCTCACTGACGTTTTGTGGAAAACATGTTATCTTTTAACTACTCCAGTCAACGGGTAACAGTTATTATTGTAATCATCGAGACTAAGAATTTAACTCTGTGGTTTTGTGTTCATTGTCATACCTTTGCTTTAATTTATTCACGTATTTGACAAAATAGCATTTCGAGACGTTTAATTGCTTAGACCAGACTGTCTTCGCTTCATAACGCCGCTAGATGTCACTAAGTCCCTTTTCAGTTAAATATATTTACAGAGCTCATATCTGGTACAGTTCAATAGAATACAAATTGAACTACAAAAGGGGATTATCCGTCCATCCGTCCATTCATTTTCTGAACCGCTTTACCCTCACACGGGTCACGGGGCGTGCTGGAGCCTATCAGCTGTCTTCGGGCAGTAGGCAGGGGACACCCTGAACCGGTTGCCAGCCAATCGCAGGGCACACAGAGACGAACAACCATCCGCGCTCACAGTCACACCCAGGGACAATTTAGTGTTCAGTCAGCCTGACATGCATGTTGTTGGAATGTGGGAGGAAACCGGAGTACCCGGAGAAAACCCACGTAGGCAAGGGGAGAACATGCAAACTCCACACAGGAAGGCCGGAGCCGGAATCGAACCCGGTACCTCTGCACTGTGAGGTCAATACTGTACACCGGGCCGCCCAAGGGGATTACGATGTTTATTACTGTTATATTTATTTTATATGTGCAAACAACCCATATTGTAAGCACCCATCTTTCCAGCAACATTTATACTATTTCTGCCTTTAAGATATTCTTTGAACTTTGGACTGTAATATTCCTATATCCTACCACACCCAAAGTACAAAAAATGCATTGGCAGCATTGCTTTTACAGCTCATAAAATATGAGGACCATGACACATATTTTCTCTTTGTTTGGCTCGGTCAGGGAAAAAAAAAAAAAGAGCAGGTGTTCCAGGCACAGCATCACACGCTATAATATTATACTAGATATAAGGTATCTGCGCAAGCCTTTGCAGGTCTGACCTATAAACTTGTGAACTTTAATGTTTTCCTGAGGCAGTAATACCGAAAATTCCACACTCGATACTTACATGTTTAATTCCCGAAAGAATGTACTTTATATGGGGGTGTTGCATTCCTATCAACCAGGTCTCCCATGACTCAGAAACTGTGCGAGGGGATTATGGTACATTTCCTTTCTGGTGCTTATTGAGCCGTAAAAGTCCAAAAATATGATGCCAGTCAACAGTTAGTAAGACAATGTAGAGCAAGGTATATGTGTGCTGAATATCAAGCTGAATTTGAGCGTTTTTTTATTTCCTCCAAAGCTCCTATTGGATGTTTAAAAAAAAGATATATATTCTCAGCGATTGTCCTGTGCTGTGAGTTGTGTTAAGAGGGATTTTACCTCCCAAACCAAGGTTGGTCGAGGCTGACCATCGCAAATGTTAAACCTGTTTACTGTTTGTTCCCAGCCAATAAAAAGTTTGCAAGAATATGTTTAGCACATGTCTCCAAACTATTATCCTGACCGATTATGATGTGGGGTAGGTTGTGTTACAAGTGATTTTTCTTCATGCTTGTCCAAGCTGATCAAGTGGGAAAATGACCCCACGCCACAATATAATCACTCAGGATAATCTTTCAGAGACATTCGATAATCAGGTTTTTTCTCAATTTTGATTGCAAGGGAGGAAAATTGCTCTAATTTGGCCAGATTTTCTGTATGTTTGTTGCCCCCATCAGTTTTGTAACACATTTGTGGTACATTTTGATGCTGGTAAACATTTTGTGAAACAATCTACATGTACACACATTGAGATAATCGGGTCAAATGTGAGAAAGAAGAAAAAGAAAAGAAAACCTTTATTAGTCTCGCAATGGAGAAATTCCCAATTCACAGCAGCAAGCAAGCTTCAGATGTTCCTAAAATATTATCTATCATAAGACAGTGATTCTCAACTAGTGTGTCAGGACACATGAGTGTGCTGTGAGAACTCCAAAGGTCTTTTTTTTTTCCGTCTTTCGATGGTAGCAATACACAGAGACAGACAGAACAAATACATGATCTTTCATTAGATCTTCCAATGTGTTTTTTTTGTTGTTGTGTAAATCATGTATGCTTGTCTTCAAGTGTACATTTTTATCCTGTTTTAAGCTCTTGTTAAGTGTCTTTGAGTATGATGAAAAGCGCTTTCAAATAAAATGTATTATTATTATTATTATTATTATTATTATTAGATGGCAGAAAGTATATAAATGACGTGCACCCGCTTTTTGTGACATTTGCGTTTGGCGGCTGACAATCATAAACGTTAAAACTGTTCAATATTTACGATCACAAATCCTTTAGTCTCTCACGTTTCCAAAAATTAATTATGACCTTAAAAAAAAAAAAAAATCACATGTACCCCATTTTAGCAGTTCCTGAAAGCATGAGAATGTAAACAGGGACGATGAGACCTTCTTGACGGGGGTGAACACCAAAGGAAATGTAGCCACGTTGACGGAATACTCTTGTGTGTAGCTGTGACATTCTACTTGGCTCTGGCAAAGGCACTCTGTTTCTCAGTTTGTTCCAAAACTCCAGTTTTGTATTTTAGTTCATTTTTTTAAAGGTCTATTCTGATAGTTGGCAAAACAAAATTCTAATAACCTATTAATTGGATGATATTTTTTTTTAAAAAGTGTTCCTTAATTCACTGTAATATCCATTGTAGATTCATGTTGGTTATTTACATCATGTCACCTGAGGGATCATGGGTCAAACATATTTCGAGTGGGTTTCCAATCTTTAATAAGATTAGGGGCTCTGACATGGTGAAATCCCCACTCAAATCTTGATAATTCCTCACTGAAAAATGTGCCGCCCACACATTTTTTCTCTCGATCACCTCGCTTGACCTCCATTCTTGAAAATGAGGAAATTTAGGAGATTTCCCAGGTGGATTAAGTATTGAATGTGGATTTAGGTGAAAGTTCTTCCTACAAGTCACTTCAGTCAAGGAGTTAATTGGGGGCAATTAACTATTTCTTCGGCGTGTAGAATTAAACAAGGAAATATTTGTTTGTCTATTTCTGAAAATGGGTGTGGTAGGGAAGCTATTGGACAGCGATGAATTAGCAGTGGTGTGCACATGCCATTCATTGGCAGTCTAGACATAGGCTCTCTTGACTGACTGCTAAAATCAAATGTACAAAAAAAAACCCCCAAAAAAAGTTAAGCCACTGTAACATGATGGGGTTTGAATATTTAATTTATGTGTGATTCTTTGCAGCAGTACGGAATAATAATGGCCCTGTCACATTTTGACATTATTGGCCTTGCATATGCAAGTTTCCCTAATGTGGCAGATGAGAGACTGTTAGAATGCGGTCACTGTTTTAATATTTAGCACCATTTCCATCGTCATAGAACCACAAATGAAACAAACCAGAACCATAAAGGTAACTCTTGATTTTATTTACACTCCAAAATCAATTGCCCGACATTACATGCTCAACAATACAATTCTTCCTGGTCTAACAATGCCATAAATAGAAAATAAAATAAATATTAAATAAACATTTACAGCTGTATTAAGACATGTAAACAAATAAGATGATTTGAGTAAGACATAAGATGGAGCACAAACTACACAAAGTCCAATAACGTGTGATCCTTTACCCTGAGCGGAATAATCTTTGCAAATAGTTCGATTACAGAACATACAAAAATATATGTTTTGATCCTGAAAACTTACTTAAAAAAAAAAGGTGCCCTTAATCACAAAGAGCCTTATTCAGATCAACACAAGTCCTAAGCGCTCTTGTTTCTCTTCCGGTTTCTTTGAGTTTGCTCACAACAAGCTTATGTTCAACATGGCTGTCAGGTTAAGAAGTATTGTTTTTCGAGTCTTATTCCTGTTCGGGTGGCCTCCAGGGTCCAGTTCAGTCTTGCCACACTGGATTTTTATTTTTTTTTACAGCGAGGGGGTCTACCCCTGCACTTTCAGTCCTCGTCGTCCACAAGGTTTAATGTGGCCTGGTCGCTTCGAGTGCACGTGGAAATGCGTGATTGCTTCAGTCACACTGCGAACACGCTGAGGGAGCTGCATTCGTCTTTCAGTCCCAGGATGCTGTAGGCTATCCTCTTCATGTGGCCTGGCAAGCGGACTCCAATGTTCCTGATGTCCCTGGGAGGGGGGTAAGGGGACAGTTTAAGCCTCTGAGACTGTTACAAACTGTACAGAGTGTGGTTTCAAAACTAGGCAGTGCAGAGGATGTAAGGGGGGGGGGGGGCGGGGGGATCCAAGGAGCTCCTTATATTCCTGACATCCATCAAACAAAACTATACCATGTTTACCACAAATGCCATAGGAATTCAAGTCTGGCCTATTTTTGAGAATAAAGTAGATTTTTTTTTTCCAAAGAAAAGAAAAGTTGAAAACTTCACAAAAAAGAAATTTTGTTGAGATAAAAAGTAATATTTTGCTGGTCATTTTTGAAAGGAAAAAAAGTTGTTATGGGAATAAAGTATTTTTTCAAGAAACAAAAAGTAATCCTCTCGACGAACGAGGTATTTTGTTGGGATAAAAAGTCAATCCTATGAGAAAGCCATAAGTTAATTTAACCAGGGATGAAAGTCTTATTTTAACAAATGAATTTCAGCAATGCAACTTTCCTCTCACAATATTATGCCTTTCATTCGAGAAACTGTAGTATGATATTAAAATGAAACTTCAACAAGGGAAGAAAGTTCGATATTAATAAATGCAAAGATATTTTGGAAAGGACACCTTTATTCTTAAGTAAATATAAAATCTGATTACACCCTCCTTTTTTTCTTGGGGTGGGGGGGGAGGGGGTAATAGGACTTTATTCCTGTATTAACTCTCTTCTTGGGGTAATTTATCTATGTCTGTTTCACTGGCTGTCGGTCCCCAAGCACTTTTTAAAATGATACACCATAATTATTTCAAATGCTACAGCCGGCGGAGCCAATTTAATAACCACCAATGCAAGGCTAACGTGAGCAGGAGTGGTCCTGGCAAGTCTTGTGAGCTCGGTGGATTGTCTTGGCGAAGAAATGGCCCGATACCAAACGCCAGGGGCACCTGTGTCCCGTTTGTACTTACTCATGCCTCAGGGCGAGCACATCTTCCATTGTGGAGACCCCTGCCCGGGCAAAGCTCTCGTTGTACTGGCTCATTTTGATGGACTCCAACCACTCGGGAACCGACCGGAACATGGTGCCGTCGCAACCGCTGGTGCTGGGCAAGCGGATGGACACGCTGGAAGAGGACAGTCAACATGCACTTGGGTCACTCGCCGTGCATCTTCACCATTTCATTTGATTCACTAGGGTGGCATTCCAAAGCATAGAAGACAATGTGCATGGGGGGGTGGCATTTGTGAGCTCTAAGGGGAGTTGCATGGTGACTACTATAAGATGGGGTCAGGCAAAATGATCTGACACATTTGTACGTTAAATAAAGTAAAGAAATATATATATTTTTTTTTCTCGAAAAGTACATACAACGCCATTGTTTTCGCTCAAAACACGATCTTGTTATGAGTTACCAACTTCAGAGCTACTTCATCTGCATTGAAACGAAAATCAACCGGCCGACCTCGCGCCGCCAGAACTCCAGAAAACGTGGCAAACGTCCCATTTGACTGATTTAATTTTTAAAACATAATGAAACAAATGATCTGACACATTTGTACGTTAAATAAAGTAAAGAAATATATATTTTTTTTTCTCGAAAAGTACATACAACGCCATTGTTTTCGCTCAAAACACGATCTTGTTATGAGTTACCAACTTCAGAGCTACTTCATCTGCATTGAAACGAAAATCAACCGGCCGACCTCGCGCCGCCAGAACTCCAGAAAACGTGGCAAACGTCCCATTTGACTGATTTAATTTTTAAAACATAATGAAACAGAATGGCATTGTATGTACTTTTCGAAAATAAAAACACTTTTTTGTTTCTTTACTTAATTTACCTTTTATTTAACCTACAAATGTGTCAGATCATTTTGCCTGACCCTGTACATCTATTTTCACCAGTATAACCTCATTTGTAAAATTCTGTGAGTTTTCTCGCATATTGTGGCCCCAAAAGAATAACAACAATTAACACTGCGAATAATAAAAACACTGTACTGTACAGTATAACATTTGTAGCAGTGTACCACAAACGTCATTCTGCTGCTGTTTTTTTTTTTCTTTTCCCCTCCACATACCGTGGATCAAAGTCTGCGATGGTGCTCAAAGACTCCGGACTCTGGAGCAGCTTGTCCAGCATGTTGACAATGTCGGTGAAGCAGGGTCTTTTGGAGCGGTCGTGCAGCCAACACTGGAGCATGAGCTGGTAGATGGCCGAGGGGCAGTCCATGGGAGCGGGCAGCCTGAAGGCCTCGTTGATGGCTTTCATGACCTGCCCAAAAAGAGACGCAGTTTAGCATTCACAAATTGGCTGCGCGTGTGCTGTTTAACAGGAGCGGTGGAGCCTCCCCCTGATTAAATTAAACAATCATTCACCCCAGCGAGGGGGTCGTGACAGAGCCGGCGTTACCTCATGGTTGCTCATGTCCCAGTAGGGCCGCTCGCCAAATGCCATCACTTCCCACATGACGATGCCAAAGCTCCACACGTCGCTGGCTGAAGTGAACTTCCTGTAGGCGATGGCTTCGGGGGCTGTCCAGCGGATGGGGATTTTACCTCCCTGTCAAGACACAAAGCAACAGTGAGTCATACGGAGAGGACAATCCAGATACTGAAAGACCTCTTGAAGGAGAAGTCAAGTCAAACAAAATTCTTTCCAATAGGAGGCTTGCGAACATCACATGACCAAACCCACAAAACTGGTGAGCTGTGATGGCCGTGAACCGAACCCTTTGGCACTGTGACGTCATTTTCAGTTGACAGAAAATGGCAGAATGAGGCAAAATGGCTGCTCCTTGAGATGCCTCCCCCACCACCAATTCCATGTCAATGAGAAAGTTAAGTCAGGTGCTTTTTTTTTTTTTTTTAAATCTTCCAGGGGGAGCTACTGAGTTCGTTTCTGGGATGTTGTGCTGGGGACCCGAAAAAGACAACAACCAAGAGTTGACTAGACTTACTCTGGTTGTGTACGTCCCCTCTGCATCGTCCTCCAGGACACGCGACAGGCCGAAGTCGGACACCTTGCACTCCAAGTCGCTGTTGACAAGGACGTTCCTGGCTGCCAGGTCCCGGTGCACGTAGTTCATGTCTGAGAGGTACTTCATGCCGGCGGCAATTCCGCGCAGCATTCCCGCAAGCTGGTAGGTGGGAATCTCACCGTCGCGGTCCTGTGTGAACGGTAAACAAGTGAGTGAAAAAGAATCTTGACGCATTCGAGACCCCCGTGCAATCGAATGAGACGTTGTCCTGAATGTCATTCCAGAGGATCCTCAATTTACGACGGAATTCTGATCATCGATGTAACCCTGGTTTGTACGTCAGTCAGAACGTGCCGTCGTTTTTCAGTGACATATCGCAGTAGTAAATGTCATAATTGTCATAAACCTTGACTAACACTTGTAAGCCGTGGATACAAAACAATCAAATGAAAAGTAGGACGTTTGGCGGTAACCGAGCAATGACATTTTTTTTTTTTTACTCCGCTGCAAAGTAATTTATTGTTGTTATCTCGAGATGTCGGGGCCGTCATAAACTGAGGACCGACAATAGTATGGTCAAATCCATTTGACATCTCCTTGGTACCTTGAGATAGATGTCGAGAGCTCCGTTCTCCATGTACTCCGTTACTATCATGGCGTGCTTGACTGCAAGAGAAACAAGTGAGAGATTTATGACATGGACTTTTTTAAAAAAAAAAAATTTATTCCTTTGTTTTAGGCTCACATTTGGTGACGACGCCCTCCAAGCGGATGATGTTAGGGTGCGAGAACTGGCCCATGATGCTGGCCTCGCTCAGGAAGTCTTGCCTCTGCTTCTCAGAGTAGCCCGGCTTGAGGGTCTTGATGGCCACGGCCACCTCCCCTCGAGCGGGGGACTTCATCGCACCTCGGAACACTTCGCCGAATTCTCCTGGTTGACGGGTAAAACACACGGTTACACTTTGAACTTGGGGCCGTTGTGGGATGGCAGGTAGGCGATCTTAACACTCACCCACGCCAATGACTTTTTGCTTGCTGATGGCATTCGGGTCGATTTCTGTGACAAACTTCTGGATGGCGATGTTGGGGTCCTCGTACATGTGTGGATCCACGTAAGTCTTAATAGGCTTTAGCTGATCTGAGGGGAAAAGAAATGAGTTTTAGACCGTGTAACTGTCTTTCAAATTACAAATGGATGTTCGAATTGAGCGTCTACCTGAAAAGTAGGGATCCTCGGAGCCTCCCCGACGATGAGCTCGCAGTCTCCTGAGTGGGAGGAAAAAAAAAAAAGAATAATTACAGAGGTAGTGCACATAATACAGACAGGAATGTTATAGACTGCAGTTTGGTTGGAGAAGATCCCTCTAAACTTTCATACCAGTAGACAGTAATCGCCATTTTTCACGGGGTTTACGCTCAAAAAATACCATAAAAACCGAAACGCCACCAATGCCCAACACCCCAACCCTTCAAAAAAAAAAAAATGAGTCATGCCATCATTCGAGCCTGAAATGACAGTCCCACACTCTTTAAATGCATTCTAGACCAACCTTTTGCGTAGCAGCAGGACAGCCACAACCACGAGCAGAACAACTGCGACTCCAGCGACCGCCCCCATCACCATGGTGGAGGGGCTTTGGACCCGAGATTCCGCTGTTGAAAAAAAAGAAATTCAATAAAACTAAGCAAAGCCATCTTGACCGGTTGCCAGCCAATCGCAGGGCACATACTGTTTACTGGAGACAAGCAAACATTCACAGCGATGGATAATTCAGAGCAGGGGTCAGCAACTCTGGTCCTCGAGGGACCCCCCCTCCTGCATGTTTTAGATCAGGGGTGCCCAATCATTTTTTGACTGAAGATCGACTTTTCAAGCAGCCAGTCTCCCCTGATTGACGCATTACCACACGTGCACGCATACACGTACGCACGCTCATGTGCGCGCACCAGAAAAATAGATACAAGTGTTGGTGAAAAGCAAATCACTGCCTTCCTTCGTAGAGACCGGACGCGGAGATATGGGACACACTTTAACTGCATGAACTATCACTGCTGTAGCTCACGTGTTTTAAAATGCTTCTCTTGGCGCTCCAGATTCCCATTCTTTGCCCTTTCCATCGGCGAATTGCAGATGAAACAAACTTTGACTGAGAGCAATAGTCATAAAAAAAAAAAAAACAAACAAACAAACAAAAAAAATCATATATTGCAACAGCTCTGATCGCAAGTTGCAATCACAGACTGCTGACCTCAAACAACTTCCAGTGATGCAGATCACGTGTCACCGTAGGTTAAAGGTGACCAGTGTTTTTATTTTTATTTTTTTTCGTGAAAGTGAAACCGATGCGTAAGTCTACACTGACACAAAAATATCTAATATTAATAACAAGCACACAGACACACAAATCTCCCCCCCGCCCAATTCGCCCTACACAACTCGCGATCGACTTGGGACCAGTCTGCGGGCTACGGGGCGATCGCGATCGACTGGTTGGGCTCTGCTGTTTTCGATCCTTCCGCCTCCAACACACCTGACTCAAATGATCAGGATTGTTATCAGGCTTCTGGAGAGCCGGCTGATGAGCTGATCATTTGAATCAGGTGTGTTGGAGGAGGGAAATATCTCAAAGGTGCGGGATAGGGGCCCTCGAGGACAGGAGGTGGTGACCCCAGATTTAGAGTCTTCACTGAATGTGTGTTTTTGGAACGTGTGAGGAAACCGGAGTAGCTGGAGAAAAACCGACGCAAGCGCAAAGGGAGTAACCAAACATCTACCACCAGAGGCTATTCTGAATGAAAGAGACTTGATTTGAGGCGTGAGAGCTGTGTTACCTCGTGGGGAAGTATGGAACTCGTACTCCGCGCTGTAGCTTCCGGGGTTCCCTTGAGAACTGAGCACCTGCACCCGGAACAGGTACGCCGTGTCTGGCGTGAGGTCATTAACGTGCACGGAGTTCTTGTCCAGGATCAGGACCGTGTAGGTGGTTACGTCACGCTCCCCGTCACCGTCCTTCAAAAGAACAAAAGGTCGAAAGGTGCATTAGGATTAGGATCGTTTTCCCGGGAAAAGGTGGAGGAGCCCCAATGATGGAATCTCGTAAAAAGCACTCTGTCTTACTTTTCTGCGGTACATGAGCTCATAGCGATGACTGATGTGCGCCGGAGGTCGGCGAGACAGAGTCCAGGACAGGGTCAGGCTGGTGGGGCTGCGATCATCCAGATGGATCAACGTCACCTTTGGGGGATCTGCCCGAATGGTCGGCGAGAGGCACGGAACAAAAACAACAGTAAGTGACGCATCGCACTCGTGGGCCTTCTTGGAATGAGACTTTTTGGGATTCAGTGGGTGGCATGAATTTCCCTTGTGGGGAAAGCTAACTGTTTCCAAATATGTTTAAAACACTGTCTTAAGGTTTGAGGGCGAGCGACATGTTGAAGGCGAAAGCATTTCTACATTAAAATCGGCCCAAAACTATTCAGACCCTGGACACATTTCTTTTAGTGTTTATTATTATTTCTGGACTATCTTAATTGGAAAGGACACACGGCAGTGGCAAAACACTGTAAGAAGTTGTGTTCAAACAATATTTGCTCTTTCATTTTTCCAATTCCGTGTCTAGAATTATTCAAACACGCATATCCAATGTTCTAAACTTATAGTTGATGAGAAACCTCCAGAGCAAAAAAAAAAAAAACCCAAAAAGGTATGATTTTTGTCTGCTATTCCCGGAACACCTCTGACTGGCTGACAAGTTTCAGACTAAATGTCAGGAGGTGAAAAAGCACAAATGGAACATTATTCACGAGACGAGTCATGTGTGCAGCAGAAGCGGTCACGGACATTTGTCATCCATTGCGTTTGAGTGGGCATCATGTTTTCTAACAAATATTTACCGTAAGAGTGACTGAACAACGGCATTAGAATTGGATAGCGAGAGACTACGGTGCATTCCGACTTGCGTAAAAATGTTTGCATTGTCGTCGCATGAACCGCATTGCATCGTAAACCGAGGACTCCCTGTCGGGCGCCGTGTCTGGTTAGTTTATTTTTATTTTTCACCCTGGAGAACCCAAGAACCTTTTTCTTCTTTGGAAAATGATGAATTATACATTAAATGACTGCAATATGTTCACTGAAGACCAAAATATATGTTTTTTTCAAATATTCAATGCTTTATATGACCCTTTGGGATTTAAGGGTAGCATTTGAGTAGCAGAATTTATAGGGGCCAAATTTGACCCCGTGGGTTCTCCAGGGTTTTAAAATGAACTCTTTCTGAGTATTATGGCACCATCAGCAATGCTGAACGCAACCGCACTTTGAAAAGGTCAAACCTTTTCAAAATCTGGACACAAAAATGTTGCTATTGTTCAACCTTAACAATAATGAGATCAAGATAAATCTAAGAAGGGAAACAGGATGGAATCAAGCTTAAAATAAGCCTTAGCTCACCAGTATAGTCCAGAGCGGCGGTGATGCTGGTGGCGGGCCTCGCGGCGCCGTACTGGGACACCCCGCTGTGCGCTTCCACCGTAAACGTGTAGTTGAGATGCGAGTCCAGGTCGCAGACTATGACCTCGGTGTCCTGCAGGTCGGCGGGGCCGGGCTCGAAGTGGACCTTCTCGCTGCAGGGAGAGCACGAGGCCCTGTCGCACTGCTCGCACAGCACGCTGTAGGTGAGGTCGGCGCGGTCCCCCGTCACTAGCGGCGAACTCCAGGACAGCTGCAGCCGGCCGTCAGTAGACAGCGTGGTGGCAATCAGGTCACGCGGAGCACTGGGAGGCGCTATTAGGGGAAATCCGAGGAGTTAGCCCAAACATCCCGAGTATGCTCAACTGTGTTACAGTATCAGTCAGCGGAAGGAAGTCTTACCGGAACAAGGCGACGTGGGCGGGTCTGACGGCGAACGGAAGAAACCGTCCTCGCACTCGCAGCTGGTGGCGCCGGCCGCAGAGGGCCTGGTGTTGTCGGGACACACCAGACACAGCTCAGGGCTCACGGATGGCTTGAAGTAGCCCGGCTTGCATTCTGTGTCAAAACACAAAAGGATTTTCGGTGAGGCGCACACAAAAGGTCCTGAATGGTGTCTCATTTTCCAACAGTGGCTTCCATTTTGAAATTTCACATGATGTCCTGTCCTTTATCCACTAAGCAGGGTACTCTCATATCAATACAGTATCGGGGCTGAATTTGCGTATTGATCCTGCCTTGCGCTAAAAGTTACAGATCTGATTAAAAAAACGGTCAAAACCAATACGTGGAAATGATGTATTAATCCTGTTGAATATTAAAGGCCATTCAGTTTCTATTCGGTCGCTGAGAGCTGGAGTGTTTCCCAGTCGACTTGGGGTGAAATACAGACTACACCTTGGGCCGCTTGCCAGCCAACCACGGGGCACGCATAACGATGGACAACCATTCTGGCACTGAGTGGCACCCACGCCGCCTGCACGGAAATCAGGCAAGCGGACACCGCTGCGTGTGGTGCGCCTTGTTGATCATCTCAAGAAGACCACACACACCGTTAAAAATGTAAGCACGCACAGCGAGTCTTACTTTGTCATGTACACACATCTAAAAAGATCAATCCAGGTTTTAGTCATCCGTACGTACGCCTCTACTCACTTCAGTTGACGATGACGTGCATTTAAGGGAGGGGGAAAAAAAAACAGAAGGAATGACGGAACAAAAGAAAAACAATGAGGCAGTGTGCGTAATGTTGGGCCTTTCCGCCGAACAGGAAGCTTTTGTTGCGAGTAACCTGTAATCACTGAGCTTTTGTATGGCGAGGAATGAAAAGGCATTTCCCTCCGCAATGTGCCCCCACTTGCCTTCTCCACCTGAAGGCCTCGTCTCAGGTCACGCGTTGACGACTTGGCCCGGATGACACCCGAGCATTCAATCCATCAAGTTATGCGATCTGCCTTCTTAACTGTGAACTCCCCATTCAGGCCCTCTGGCGGATCCTCGGTTTACGACATACAACTTTCGAGGTTCCACACAATGGACTAGTTTGTTCAGCGGCGCGAGTCTATATTATAACGCGTAACAAGAAGACACACTCAGTGTAATGAACAGTTTTTTTTTCATTTGATGATTACGCCCTTAATAGGGACAGAGCCCGTCATGAACAAAAAAAAAAACTCTGTCAACATAGTTCCTTTGTAACAAGATAAGACCTTCGTTGTCATCATTACTGCAATTATGACTTTACTAGTGCATTAGTGTCGGTTAGTGATACATTACAGAGCCATTTGATTTACAGTATGTACAAATTCGGGTGACGTCCTCGTGCATTCAAACATAACTATCCCAGACATCACCTTCCCCTGTAATCGAAGTGTTTTTGCCAAAGGAAATGGCACATCGGACACCGGTGGCATACCGTGATGAACATCTTAGCAAAAGCGATAAGCGAGCGGCTTTTCCAGGGCACGGGAGGTTAATGAAAGCGCGGATGGAACAAAAGTGGTCGTCATGAGGACCGTACGGACGGTCTAAGACTGATGTTTCCTCTCTTTCCTCTTCCCTTCCATTCGTTGCAAATTATGACAGGCAAGGGTGAAGAGTTAAATGAGGAGGGATGTAGAGGAAAGAAGAAGAGGAAACCCTGTTGAAGCCCCTTTTCCAGTTTTTATGGAAACACAACAACAGCACCTGCACACTTTGTATTTACAGGCCGTCTATCTGCTCGTTGCACCCGGCAGCAATTCTTCTTTCAAGAGAGGAGCCTGGACTGAAGATGAGGTTGCGTTTCTTCATTCCCAACTTGACTGTTGATTGTTGACTACACGACATAACTACTGTATACGATATGGACAAAGTACTTTCGGATGAAAGCAAGCTTTCAACAGGCAAGGAAATCCCTCCATCATACAACACGTGTTCGGATCTTTTTGGACGATATGCCGAGCCATGTCCTGGGTCTTTATTTAGAACGAAAACCACTCTATAGATAGAGGTACGTTTCCAGGCCCAGAATACTATACACTACAAATTGGGATTACGTTACTGTCATTAAAACAGTGCTTTGTCATCAACCTGTGCCCGACTCAGCCCACATTGTAGTGAAGTTTCCCCCAGGGGGGAAACTGTGACTCTTAAAAGCATATCCTGTAAATGTTTCATCACCTCCTTAAATTACTTTGTATACACAACTGCCCCAGCATTTCCTTCATATGATTCTATTCATAACAATAAACTGAGTTTAAAATCAGAAGTCATGGACGAGTGACAGCTCAATATGAATCCGGTTCAATTCAATGTACTGTAAAGTGTGTTAAGAAGAGATTTGGTTTAAAAAAAAAAAAATTTTGATATTTGTTCAAAAGGAATGAAAATAAGCAATTCTTGTACAGACTTCTTCTGAAAATGAAAAGAACAAATCCATTTAGCCCTGCCTCACACCCCCGACATCTGAATTTTTGGCCAGTTACATGCCGCTTCTCCCACCCCGCCTCCAAGTGGAGACAAGTAAGAATGTCATTGTGGAGGATTCAAGCATCGACCTGCAGCACTTCATTTCATTAAAAGGCCTCTCATGGTGTATCGTTGGAGAGCATGATACCATGTGATTGACGTTGTGCATCCAGTGTAGTTTGGCCATCCTCAAAGCGGGGGAACCCTTCAATTTGTGGTCCCTTCCCCTAAGGTCCCCCCCCCCTCCCCTCCCATGCCTCAATTGGGTTTTCTTGAGTTTTTCCATGCCCTCTTGGGGGATTTTGACTGGGGGATGTCATTGCTTTTTGTGAACTGTGGGCTTGTGGAACCCTTTGAGACTCTTTTGTGATGAAGGTTTATAGAAAGAAACTTGCCTTGACTTTAGCGGGCCACAAAAAAGACGCGGTGGATTGCATGCCCTTGGGCTTTGCGATCGACACGGGCCCTGTAATTGTCCGAAAAAATATTCATCTGCACCATTCCGACAACTTGACATTACGCTATCGTTGTTTACCATTCCAAAGCATACCGCGGCAATCACTACTGGATTGTACCATTTTGCAGAAAGGCGGCTCAAGTATCACCATGGTGAAGGATAAGCAGCAGGTTGAGTTGAGCAGGAGGATGAATAGAAGGCCTTAAAAGGGGAGGAAGGGATGCGGACTGGAGCACCAAACAGAAGTTCTCTCTGGGGAGTCACTCAGCGGGAGTGTGGGGGGGTCTCTTCGCATGAGAAAAGGAGACCAGCCCATTTTAATCTTGAGCCCGAGTGCTAGGACTTCTGTCACGGCGCAAAGAAACTCTCGGCTCTATTCATCTATTGTCTGGCAAGACTGGATGGAGTGGTGCCATAAATACGTTGCATTAGTCATTGCAGCTTGTAAAATGGCGACATGTGTGCAACGCTGCGAATGCACACACACACACACACACACACACACACACACACACACACACAGCAAGTTGCGTTTGGACAATCTACTCACGCCGATTGAGTGAACTGAATCGTATGGTCACTTGTTGATGGAACTTGTGCCTCTAATTGCCCCACACTCCCTTTGGATGATGGCGCACACGTGAAAAGGACTTGCGTTCCGCACCGGTGCATCTGTTAATTGAATCTGGGCTTTGGCTGCCATTGTTCTAATGAGTGGGAACACGGATTAGTCGGCTCGTTGCGTGTGTTAACTGCCGGATGAAAGGACCCGAGGGGAGGTAAAGCAGGGCCACGTAACAGCTGTCCTGTTACTCCACTAATCCTCTTGACTAAATTACACTCCACACCTAACTAAGCAGCGACGGAAACCAACCTCCCCTTCATGTGCCAACTGTTGGTCCGCTGCGAGACAACCTGCTTATTTGTGTCAGTCGGCATTCCTTCTCAGCCTGCTTCCTTTTCCCACAACAGATGCGCTCTTCATTGCGAGACACATGCGGGACCGTAAGTCTTCCAGAATATCACTTTCTCTGACACCTAAAGCCCGGAATGAAGTCGCTGCATTAGCGTGGAACAAAACGCCCGCAGTCTTGCTCCTGTCACCATCAGAGTTTGAGGAAAAAAAAAATGTTTTTCATGGTATTTGATAAAAATGGGAATCTAATTTTCATACCTTATGATGAATAAACGCGTTTCAATCCATTTCATTTCATGTTTGAAAAAGGACTTCTTGTCCAGTTATTCATATACAGACCAGCACAATTTATAATATGGTACAGGGAATGCATTGGTAAATTCCTTGCAGAGTAACAGCTCCTCACAAATACTTTTTGGGCTACATCAACCCAAGCAATGCAAAGTATTTTTAATGGGTATTATCAAGTGGAATGGTTTATGGTTAATTTGACTCCCTCCTTACCACATCACACTGTTATTAAAATGGGTGATTCAAGAATTCCACACAAAGGTTGCTTCATCTCAGAGTACTGTACTGTATAATTGTGTCATTATTAGATAAGTACCCTTTCTAATCAGGATTTTGCATGTTTATTTATTTTAATTGGAAGCAACCACGAATCCATTTTCCATCGGCCTCGCCCTTATTACCTGGTCAAAACTCATGTTTGGGTGAGAGAAGCAGGAAACACGCATGGCCCGGTCGCTCGTCAATTCCAGGACAACCAACAATTCAGACTCACATTCACACCAATCGAAATTTTTGAGTCTTCCATTCCATGAACTTAAATTGAATGTTTTGAGAATGTGGGAGGAAGCCAGGGCTGATTTAAAATCCAACAACCTTGTTCCTAATGTACAATATCAGGTCTAACTCCCGGCTATGAAATCATTCTGATCCCTCATAAATATTTCCTGTCTTCCTCTCTAGCTATTCATGCACAACGTCTGTTTCCGGAGCTCAGAGTCTGTCAGCAGTCGGGGCGAGAAACATTCCTCTGCCTTGGACTTCCTCCACCCTCATCCTTCCCTGCGAGTGAGTGGAAGCGTCCCTTCTTTGAAGCGCCGACCCGTCACCGCTATGAATGATCTGTTCACATGGAAGGAATGGAGACGCTGCCAGTCAAGGTGACTGGAAAACAGCAGGAGTCATAAACCGCAGCCCTGACTAAGAGAGGCGTGCCGGGGCCCCATCCCTGTAATCTGCGGTTACGGTTGCCCGGGCGACGGGCAGAAACAAAATACTGGCGGAAGGGGGACAGAAAACGTTTCAGGTAGGCGCCCGAGACAAATTCACACGGGCCTTCCTTTAGTCAATCAGTGCAGCAGGTGACGCCAGGGTGAAAGAATTCCTTTCAGAAATCCCCGCACCACCCCGTGCCCTTCCTCCCTCCTTCCTGTGCTCGCCACTGTCCTCCCCACACTTCCTCCACACACGCACACACACACACCACACCCCAGCATGCCAAAGAAAGACCGTTTTTCACAGAGCATACAGTAGGCACGCCGCAACTATGTCTTTTTAGTCTCACACCTCTGTTTGTTTTTGGGTTTTTTTCCATTGAATTGCCGCTCTTTCCTCAGGGGATGACATTGCGCAACATTTCTGCATATATAGTACAGTACGTCTGGTTCACATAAACTTCCAATCTCGTAAGTTTACAAATCGAATCTCAAAATTCCCTTCAATGCCTTGTAAAGCGGAAAGGGGCTGCCATTTGTATAGCGCTTTTCTACCTTGGGTACTGAAAGCGCTTCACACTGTTACCTCATTTACCTACTGATGGTGCAGCGTTACGAGAAACTGAGGGTTCAGTATCTTGCTCAAGGGCACTTCGACATGCTCGCAATGGCTGGAGATCCAGCAACCTACCGCTGGGTTGGGCTCCAAGCACTCTACCACAGAGCCAAGTTCTACATTCTCATCTTTGTACTAAAACAAAAGATTACATGAGGTTATAATTAACATGAACAATACATTTGTACAAGTGCAAATGCATTTTTTTCAAACAATTACCAAGGGGCGATGAAGATGGTGACTTCCTATTTTTCTCCACATAACGCAGGTGCAAAAAAATAAAATAAAATAAAATAAAAAAAAAAATCCGCTTTTGAGAGGCGTTCTGCTTCTTTTCCCAGCTTCAAGCAGCTCTTTCATCCCCACAGAGGACTTGGAGCATTGTTGTTCTTTTCCCGTATAAGTACAACGTGCTAAAAGTAGACCTCTTTTGTGGCGCGATGCAGCATACGTCTCCCTCGACCACATCAAGACTTGGCTTAACTTTTTACGAGATCTTACGGCAAGATGGCTGAAGGAATGTGACAATCCGGAAATGAGAAAATATTATAATCCATAACTGCCTCCAATCTAAATAAAGAACAAAAGGGTTTAGGCATCCACCCTTTTCTATGGCTAATTTGCCCGAGCATGACTTCCTTGAAGGCATTTGGAGGCTTTGTGAGTGTCAGACTTCCCAAAACAAACCAGACGAGTTAATGAACATTTCTTTACACACGCTGCCAATGCGGCGGCATCTGTGATGCCTTTTGATTCTACTTTGAGTCTTGTACGTCATGAAGATGTGGCACGCCATCGGCCTCCCTACCTTGGCACAAGTCCCCGACGGGTTCGTAGCCGGCGAAACACTCGCAGTGGACCACAGGACCCACCCACTCGCCCTCTGCGGTGCAGAAGATGCGTGGGGTGGACTGACTCATGGCGTTCTCCACGCAGGCGCCCTCCACCTCCCGCAGACCGTTGGCCACCGTCTCCGGGAAGGCTGCCAGGCTCTGCACGGTGGACGGGCACGTCTTGTAGTACACGCGCACCGAGAGGATCCCCACGCAGGCGCCCATGTCCTGGAAGGCCAGGTAGAAGCCCTTCCGGGACAGCGGGCCCACCGTCTTCGTCTCGGTGTTGACCAGGACAACTTGGTCTCGTGTCACTTCATCCGGAGCGATGGTGGCCACCTTGCGGAACTGGCCCTTGCGGAAGTTGGTGCCCACATCGGCGTCCGTCTCGTAAATGAAGAAGTTAAAGGTCTCCTTGCAGGAAACGGAGGCGCCGCCAAAGCTGTTGCAGTCACGCACGGTAAAGCGGAGCTCCACGGAAACGCGTGTGGCGCCCGGACGCCGCTGGATGAATGTCGTGCGCAACCAGTTGTCCTGGTCCACGGCGTCTATGTTGCACACGCTGTAGGTGTAGAAGAGCGAGCCGTTCACCACCGTTTGGACGATCTCCCACTGGAAGACCAAAAAAAAAAAAAAAACATGAACTTTGAGGCTGTGTTTCATAGAGTTGCAGGGGGGGCAAAATACTCAAACTAATGAACAGATACTTGCATGAAAAATAAAAAAAAGCAAAAGTAGTCATACTGAATCAAACACCTGACGTCAAAGAGTAAAACTCTGAACAATATTTAAGCACAAAAGGAAAATATTGAATACAAAAAGAAAAATTCCTTTGAAATTACTGCACCCAATTTGTTGGCTGGTCTTTTGCTGACAAAACAATGTGTTCTAACGCACCCAAAAATGCCAAATTAGCTAATGATAAAAAATAAATAAATAAATAAAAAAAGAACAAAGACACCTTGACCGGTTTGTCTTTGTTCAGAATGACAAAAGGAGCGGCGTGTAAATATACCTCGGACATAAAAAGTCTACACACACCCATCTAATTGACAGGGTTTTGCGACATAAAAAAAAAAGAAACCAAGGTCAATCATTTCAAAACCTTTTTTCCCACCATTAGGGACCTACAACATGTTAATTTTCAATGAAACCAAGGTTCAACCTTTTGCCCATTTTTCCCAAAGGTCATAGATCATATTAATGGTGGAAAAAGTTTTGAAACAATTCATCTTAGTCCTATTTTTTTGACCTCACAAACCCCTGGCATTTGAACAAGGCTGTGTAGACTTCTTGTAAATCCACTCAGTACTCTACTACAGCCAAGTATGTGTACTTTATTACTTCCCATCACTGGAGATGTGACCCTACTTCTTTGGTGTACTAAGAAGCAAATAAAGCACAGTTCGTGAGTTTGAGCTTCTTTTCCACACGTTAGCATTATTGGGCCAGACATGTGTCGACGTGTGTGGTTTTCCAGTAACACACGAGGGGGCGTGTGTGTGTGTGTGTGTGTGTGTGTGTGTGTGTGTGTGTGTGTGTGAGAGAGACTGTGACGCACACACAAATCCAACAAATACTACTGTGGAATACCAACTAACATTTGTGGCAGTTAATTGCGCTTTATAGTCACTGCCGCATTGCAATTAAAGAGTTTGGAGAGACGGAGAAGCGGTGACGAGTCGCGAGAGTCAAAGTCATTTTTCAGCACTCGCATTCCTGGCAGTAGTACTGTGCTTTGTGGGGTGTTAGTTTATCTGGTATCGGGAGGTAAATAAGGGTAAATTCAAAATTGGATCAAACAGGGGACTGTTACTAATAGACAAGGTCGCTAGATGACGATGGTCCTGACACACAACATTGGTTTGGTATGCGCAACGCAACATCTTTCAGAAGATTTTGAAAAGTTCCGATGAAACTAAGTATAATGCCAAAAGGTATGTTCCACAAAAGGACATCATACTGTGACTCGAGTGAAGCATGGCGGTGGCAGCATCATGCTTTGGGGCTTTTTGTCTTCATCTGCTACCTCAGACAAGTTGGAAGAAATTATGAACAGTTTGAAATACCTGGCAGTGTTAGCAGAAAGGCTTCAGCCTTCTGCTAGAAAGTCAAGGAAAGGCCCACGAAAGCCTAATAGGACATATGACATTTATTTGGGTTGAATAAGAATCACTTTAAATATTGGCAGGTTTGGTTCGGTTTGAACACAGCAACATGCCAGTTACAAAAGAGTGTATACACTCTGCAGCCTTCATAATCTCACTTGTTTATATTTAATAATAATAATAATAATAATACATTTTATTTATAAGCGCCTTTTAAAACACTCAATGACACTTTACAATCAAGAACAAAACAATAAAACAACAGATAAAACTATAATTAATAAAAGAAGAGATGAATTTAAATGGAGTATGCACTTACACACTCAAAGATTTTTTTCTCGAACAAGTTGTACAAATTCCAGGACACAACACAGAAATGATTTATCTGTAACTCAGATTTGTTTATACTGAACGGAAAAAAAACTGGCATTTGACCAGGGGTGTGTAGACTTTTTCCATCCACTGTTCAAGACCTGAACATGAAACCACTTCACAAGATTATGAGTGAAGGTGATAGGTACAAAGTACACAGAGATAAAAACAAACTTCCGACAGGCAAGGGAATCCCGGGACCATAAAACACATGTTGGAATCTTTTCGGACTTGCACCCCCAGCCTGAAAACCACTCGACTATAGATAGGCGGATGTTTCCGGGTCTGGTATAACTACAATGACGCAAAGCTGCTGTTATATGTCTCGGCGGGACACATTAGCTGGATTGGTTCAAGTGACACAATTCCGGTGTTTTGCTCTCAGGTGGCACAATCGGAATGTGCGTCACGGCATATTGGATATCATTCAGACCGGAACAAGACCAAATGTGAATCAAAAGCCACCATGTATTGGATAGCTTGCAATGCGTATGCAGTAAGCACACAGTTTGGATCTACCATGTCAAAGCATGTTTGACATGATCACGATGCATCGATCATTGGCGTCGCGTATACATACGTGCACGTCAGCCCAAACACAAAGCACAAATAGACACACTGACAAAAATCCGCTGTAAATCTAAACTACAGATAAACCGTTGAGAAATATGGTCTAAATATTCCACAGTAGATGTGCCCATGGCATTTAAACACAGTGAGCTAAATGGACAGTGGAGTTACTGTCCCCTCATTTAAATCAATAGGGGAAAAAAAAATCAGCACAGGACAATTAAACGCGATGTCAAATGTGATATTTGTATTATCCATGCAGTATCGTTTGCTTCCTGATGTCACTGCCCGTTGTTAATTGATGTGTAGTTTGGATTACGGAATTGTGCATAAAGGTTGTTTTTTTGTGTTCCGTCAGTGTAAACACCGTCATACTGGATGTGTGTCACTTGAAATGCATGTGTGGTCAAAATAATAATAATAATAATAATAATTGAATCAGATTCTTGCATATTTACGACATACCGACATCAGAAACATCATCCAGATGCCAATAATGATCAATGACACGTATAGCACAAGCCGAGAGGCCCTTTTAAACATCTTTAAACTGTAAATACATCAGAGAAGAGAAAGTCTTTGACCTAGAGGTTTTTAAAATGCTGCTCGGGGTATAAATACTCACCCCGTTCTCATATGGCAGCGTCAGCCAGCCCAGCTCTCCTCCTGAAGACCTCATGTCCAGCAATACTTCTGTAGACACACGCAGAAATGAGTTATAAACAGCTTATTAATCCATCCACACCGACATGAAAAATACTACTGTGGAGTACCAACTTACATTTGTGGCATTGAAATTAAAGCGTTTTAAGAGACGGAGAAGAAGTGACGAGTCATGGGATTTCGGAATCCTTTCGAGCGCTCGCATGCTGGCAGTACTAACGCACTTCATCACTTTATGAGAAACAAATAAGGGGCTATTAAAGATGAGATAAAAAAAAAAGAGGAAATATAATTATGACTGGGGGTCCTCCGTTTATGGCGGAACCCGTCATTTTAAGGCTGCGAATGGCGTGTGGCATAATAATATGTGGTTATGCAGCTTATGGAGTATAATTGTTTTTCATATTCATATTCACTGTATTTATGACTTTATTAGAGTGCTGGTAAAGTTTAGTTATCCATTGTCAAGTCCTGTCGTGGATAGGATAAATATGTGAGATGGCTTTCATAATTGCTTGTTTTTCACAGCTCTCCGGTTTTCATGTTGGTTCCAAATTGATTTCCAAATTAATTGCTAATTGTTTTTGAACATCGAATCGCATAGATACCTTTTTTCATTTAAAATGTTCCAAATTCTCAGAATCAACAGTAAGTACTATCCTATACGCTACATATTTCCGTAGTCATCCATGAGGGCGGACTTATCTTTGTTTTAAATCATGTAAAAATTTGCTTTTACTTTGAAAAACAAAAACGTTTTTGCATATTTTACGACACATTACAGACATGTTACTAAACCATTAAGTGCATAATAATAATTTTTGTTTGTGCATTTTCTCCACTGCCATTTTGAAACAGTGACCTGTTTTTGAATAAACACATCTGTTTTATTTGATTCATTGACATAATAATCAACAGATTAATTGATTTTTAAAATAATCGTTAGTTGCAGCCCTAAACTATACTAAAATGTATCAGTTTATTCGCTGGTAAATATTTGATTTAAAAAGTAAATGACTTTTTTTTGGGAGAATATAGGTCTTTATTCCAGTAGTATGACAACTTGACTTAAATATACAGGAGGGTTTTTTTGGAGAGGCGGGGTGAAAACAACAACCTCATTCTAGTAATATTACAACTTTTATCTAAAAAAAGACTTTTCTGAAAAAGTTAAATTTAGTTTTCCTATTGCAACTTTGAGGACACCGTTGTGCTTCACAGTTGCTTGCCATTGACCCAAGACAGCTCTCTGGCTTTCATGCTACACGCTACAGAAGGTGTCTGGGGGGGGGGGGTGAACTCCGTCTTGTATAGGGGACCTCTGTTTAAACCAATCTTGGGATTAAGAATCCAACTACCCAGATTTAAGACTAAGCAATATTTAAAACAATAATGATAATATCAATTAGTCATTTGGGACACATAATTGGTCTCCAAAAGCAAGATTTAAAAAAAAAAGCATGCGGTTACGTGCTTCGGCTATGAGATTGGTAAATGTAAAGATATTGTGTCTTGTATTTTTTTTCTGTCTTTATTGTTTATGTTTATTGTTTGTGCCTCTGGAAGTAGAACAAAGTCCAACGCACGTGCTGCGTTCAGGGAACCATCAGCTTTTATGGGGAGTTCAGGGGTCACACATGCCAGCCCCATTGACAGTCTAATCAAGCATGTCGGTGTGATTCAACACACCATTAAGCGTGAAGAAACTTCTCTAATCGTGTCTGGAAAAAGGCGTGGGTACACCGCATACAGTGTGCAGTTTGAAGTGAAACTACAGTAGGAGTGAAACATGTCGGGGCATCGCGCACAGGTGCTCCCACGCCCCGAGGCTCACTGACGCCACTCACAAACTATTCCCATGTTAAAACGTCTGGATTTTAGTCCCAATTTGTCTTCATCAGTTGTTTCGCTGTACACAACGTTTAAAAGGAGTCGGAGAGAGTTACTTTTTTATTAAAAGGAAAGTACTGACAAAGACAGTTTTTTTTTCTTGAGAAGTTAGTTCGATAGTGGATTAAAACGAGAAAACGTCACACCGGACGCTGACATTCCGAAGTCCTGACTCACGTGTCAGGCTAAAAAGCAAGCTATATTTTTTATTTTTGCAAGCAAAAGTCACTCACCTTCTCTCGACTGGAGGCTGACGAATATGGCGTTGACGAATAAAAACACAAGTAAGTGAAGGCGCCGGTGCTCCATGCTTTCGGAAATAAAGTGAATCCTTTCGACTCTCTCCCACTCGACCTCCGACGAGCCTCCGACCGACCGACTGACTGGAGCACAAGCCACCAAGCCAAGACAGCCCATTCAGAAACAGGTGGCATCAGGGGACGTCATTCATACCGCCTCCATGCGTTCCATGGAATGCGGAAGTTTTCCCAATATGGCCATTGAAGGGCGGGGCTATACCAGGCTCACGAGGAAGCCTGGTGGCCGGCCATTCATTACCGACTGTCACTCATCTTCGCCTCTTTATTATTCACATAATACAACACGAAATTCAACTAAGGAATATTCGAGTCATACAGTAAAAAAGAGAGAAAAAATGGCACCGTGAGACTGAAGACATAATTTTACACGAAAAAAAGTGGGATATTTTTGAGAGAGTTATCTACTTTCAAGAAAAAAAGTTGTGTATTTTCTAGAGTACAGTCAAAATATTACGGGAATATCGTTCTGTATTTTCTAGTTATTTATCAAGATTTAAAACAAAGCTGTGTTTCCCTTGTGGATGAATAAAGTATGTAGCCTTTCTTTAGTTAAGTCGTAATCTCGTGAGATACAAATTTTTTTGATAGTAAAGTTGGAAATTAAAGTTATAATTACAGTATATGGACAAAGTCATCTCTTTTTAAAATAAAAAGTCATATATTTTCAATATTCAGTATTATATTTGAGAAAAATTAATATGTTCAAAATTAAAGAATATTTTCAAAATATGTTTTATTTTTCTCTTGATAGACGGTGTGTATTTTTTAAATTAAAGTTGTAATTTGAAAAGAATAAAGTAATGAATTTTGAGGGGAGAAGTATAGATTTAAATGAAATATTTTTCAGAAATTATTTTCAAGATAGAATTTGTTATTTTAAAGAAAAGTTTTATATTTTCCTGATAAAAAGTAAAAGTAGCATACATGAATAAAGATTTTTAATTTACAGGGTAAAAATGTAATATTTTAGCGATTAACCACAATATTTTTAGGATAAATTTGTATATATTTAACACGTTAGGACAGTGTTAAAATGTTTGTTTTCAAACATTTCAACTTCAAAAGTTGTGTACTCTCAAGATTAAAGTTGTCATATTTTGCAAGAACGAAGTTGTGTTTCTTGATATAAAAACTCTAATGTTTTTGAATATTTTTTTCTGGTGAGAAGAATACAGTCGCATATTTTCTAGATAGAAGTTAGATAATTCCCAGATTAAAATCCTTCATAAAAATTCACCTATATTTGAGATTAAATGTGAGGACAAGGCAATGCAGCATTATTTATATAGCATACCATACACAGAGTAACTCAGTGTGCATCACATAATTAAAATGATATTTAAAAGCATTTACACAGAGAAGAGTTCAATAAATTTAAAGGCAGTTTGAAGCAGTAAATAGTGACTTCCTCAAGTAGCTTGTCAAAGGCATAAAATTATGAGATTAAAGTCGTATGCAAATAAAACCGTGGAAGAACTCTGATAAAAATCCCTAAAACACGTCATTCCCAAATGTTCATGATAAATAGAAAACAACAGTCCACTTGAAATTGAAATGGGCTTTGGAAGGCTGAACTGGCCCTGTGATAGGAAAATTATGCCCCACGCCTGTGCTAGATAATGGTGACTAAAATCAATGTATTAGAGCAGGAAGAGTGGGTTGTGTCACCACACTATCCATCAATATTGCCAGTACTCCCACACACATTTCACAATACAGTCCACAAAATACACATGGCCCACTTTTAATTCACAAAAAAAAAAACTTTTATATGGATAAGAACATATCCAATGGTGAACGTCACACAAAAGGCTACAGAGTTTTTAATAAATGCTCACATCACGACTCCAAATGGATGCAATTAAAGTATTGATAAATAACTACAGATGACACTGTGTTTCGAGTGATGTCACATTTTGGGTGGGCTGACTTGAATTTCAATGAACTCCTGATGTTCTATCTTTAGATAAACTTTCTTGTAACATTTCAATCAGAAGACTGTTTAAAAGCATCTACGCTTTGGACGCAAGTGTTCAAATTGGACAATATTTTGAGCAAGTAATAGCACAAAGCACCGTATTCCTCCCCCCCCCATCGGTCTTATCTTTCCCACGACTGGCAAAGGAGGGGTCAAGTGGGGGGAGGTGGCCCCGGTATGAATATATGACTACTAATGAGACGCTCTTCATAAAAGAGCCTTCGGGTATATGAATATGTGTCCGCAAAGGCGACGGGGACAACGCCGTCTCCTAGCAACTTTGATGGGAGGAATTTTAGGAGTCAAGTCCTCTCTGTGGAGCGCTGTGCACTTGGGAACAAGAGGCCCTCTGCACAGACGGTCAGCCTGACAAAGGCACCACTCTTAAAAAAAAAAAAAAATCAACGGACAAGGTGGATATTGTCACATGCACATTAATCAAACAACAGCACGAGTAAAATATGTTGCTTGAGAAAAATACATGACCAAGTTAAGTGATGAATTGCTTCTTCTTGACCTTTTCAATCACTTCAATGGCGTACGAGCGTAAATTGTAGTTAAACACAATAAGGGTCCAACCAACAGGAGTGGGAGAGCATACAAGTGTCTTATACTATTCAGGGCATTCGGTTTGCATTTTTGTGGTTTGGGTAAGCGTGACTGGCCAGCGACCAGTCCAGGGTGTGTCTCACTGCTCTCGCAGTCTCTTCCCATTTGCAGCTGGGATAAGAAGAAAACGTTGTATGCATATGTGTTGGAGATAAAGAGTAATATACAATTTCCCAATTCAAACCGTACTGTTTAAAGAGAAATTGTATATTTTTGAGAAAAAGTTGGAGACTATCGAGAAAAACGTTTTTACGTTTTTTTTTTTGTTTTTTTTTAAGAAAAAAAGTTAAGTTCTTGATTGTGAGCGCGAATGGTTGTTCATCTATGTGTGCCCTGTGATTGCCTAGCAACCAGTTTAGCATGTACCCCACCTACTGCCTGAAGACGGCTGGGATAGGATGTAGCACGTCTGTGATGCTTTTGAGGTTAAACAGTTCAGAAAATGGATAAACGGATGGATAAAACCCTTGCTTGAAGTCTGCAATAAACGAGCAGAATAATTCCTCCTCCAAATTACAAAGTTGCTCCTCAAATGAAGCCAGTGCCATGAAGTTATCTCAAGCCTTTGTGTTCTATTTTTATTTATTAAAAAAAACCCACGTTACTCATTTGAGAGGATTTTATTTCAAGGCCATATTGCCTTGTTACAAGGATGCCTCCCCCACCTTCAAAAAAAACAAAAAAAAAACAAGAACATGAGTGACATTCTCAGCACATCCTGATCCATACTTTCAAATTAGCTGGTGCACTTTGTATTTCGGCGTGAACGGCCACTCCAATTTCGAGCACCCCAAGTATAATGCTTTCTCTCGTCCTTGTAGTGCTTTTCGATACGTGAGGCGTTACCTCAGAGCATGTTAACGTGCATCACCCCCCACTCCTCACGACAAGTCCTTTCTGTTGTCCGCGACTAGTCAGGGGTGCCAAAGGTTAACACCCCCTCTAACGCACAAGTATGCAAACGCTCGACACACAATGAGAGTTTCTTTTGATTGCGCTGACAGAGCATGAGGCCTAGGAGCACTCCAAACACCCCACATTTCCCACCCTAACCACCCCCTCATCACAAGCTTCTGAGGGACGATGACAGCACAAAAAAAGTACCTCCCAGTGGGGGCATGGTAGGGGCGGAGGGGGCTGGATCTGTGTTTTGTGGGTCACCGAGCAGCGGCTCAAGTGGCAACGTCACGCCATTCAGCACCCCTCACTCCGCCGCCCCTCACGCCTTCTCGCGGTAACAACAAACACAGAGGTGCGCCGCTATTCAAAGCAACATGGGAGTTTTCGTGCGCCGCTAACACGAAATTCATTTTCACAGTTAGTCCCCCAAGCCATTCTCAGCCTTCAGAACTCTTGCTAAGACTTTTGGATTCATGCTTTCGTTCATGCATTTTAAGTTTTCTTTGACGCTCCATGCGTACAATCTATCCGATCATTTTCAATATAGTGCTTGTTTGGTTCTCGGGTAAGCTGGAGCATAGCCCAAATGACTGCGGGGGACGGATTATAGCTTTTTGGTGCATACTGCCAGCTCCTGTACAGGTAGCGCAAAGTGTTTCCATCAATTGTCAACATGTTACTCGAGTCCTAAAGTCTTTACACTGGCTCCCAATCAGCTGTAGAATAGAGTTTAACACTCTGCTACCGGTCTATAAATCACAGAATTGTATGAGTCCTGAATACATTAAAGAAATTCTGATTGAATATAAACCCGGTTGGGCTATGAAGTTTACAAACTTGGGTCAAATAGTGGAACCCAGCTTTCAGAGCAAACACGGTGAAGCAGCATTCAGCTGTTATGCTGCATTCAAAAGGAATAAGTTGCAAACAGAGGTGAAGTCAGTCCCAATTATAAATACCTTTAAATCCAGGTTCTAGATCAGGGGTGCCCAAACACTGAATCGCAATCAACCGGTAGCCCGCGGACTGGTCGTGGTGGGTGTAAAGGGAAATGAGGGGGGAAATAAAATATTTGTGTGATTGGCTGTGTGTCATTAACATTATATATTTTTGTGTTGGTGTACACTGTACCCTAAGCATCCTGTTAGTTTCAGTTTCACAGAAAAAATTGTTTTTTTAATTAAATTAAATAAAAAAGCGGGTCATCTTTAACATACGGTGATGACACGTGACCTCCATCACGAGAAGTTGTTAGCGGTGAGCAGTCTGAAATTGCAGCTTGCAATCAGAGCTGCTGCGACATATATATTTTTTGTTCTCATTCAGTTTGTTTCATCTGCAATTCACCAATGGTACTGGCAAAGAATGGGAATATGGAGCACCAGGAGAAGCATTTTAAAACAGTCCACGTGAGGTATGAAAGTGAGGATCATGCATTTAAAAAGCTGCAAAAGTGCGTTCCCTGCCTCTACGTCAGGTCTCACTCTAAGGTAGGCAGCGATTTCCTTTTCACAAACTCTCAAATTCTTGCATCTACTCCATTTTTCTGTTTCGTTCATGTTAGGGCCCATTATGGCTGTTGCTCATAATAGCATGTGTGCGTG